AGCGCAGCCCTGCCCGCCCCCGGCGCCGCCCCGGCTCCTCCCTCCTCCAGCCGGGCTGCAGGGGAGGCTTGGCCGCCACCCGCCGTGCCTTCTGTACGGCTTGCTGCCCGGGGCTGCAGCAAGTAGGAGAGAAAAACTGAATTCAAACCCCCATTGCTACCAACTTCATGATGTTGGCTCTCCGGCGTGCAAACCCAGCCAGGCACCTGGGGCAGAAGCGTGCATTGCACGGATGCCTTTGGGAGCTGCCAGGCGCTAAATGCACGCGCCTTGGGCTGCCCCGCTGCGCAGGAGGCGAGCGCAGACTTTTCAAAGCGACACGATGCACAGTGCTCGGGCGAGCCTCTTGGATTGCACACCAGCAGCCTGTCTACATGCGCACACATGCACTTTTCCTAGGGCACATTAAATTCAGTACCTCCGATGCAAGGCTGGAAATACATGCACATTAGGCTGCCCTAACGCGCACAAAAAAAAAGCATACGCTCGCACTCCCAAATAACACAATGCACAGTGCTCGGGCAAGCCTCTTGGATTGTACACCAGCAGTCTGTCTACATGTGCACACATGCACTTTTCCTAGTGCACGTTAAATGTAGTACCCCCGATGCAAAGCACTAAATATGTGCACATTGGGCTGCCCTACTGCACAGGAGCGCAAGCATAGGCTTTTTAAAGCGACACGATGCACAGTGCTCAAGCAAGCTTCTTGGATTGTGCACCAGCAGCCTGTCTACATGCGCACACATGCACTTTTCCTAGTGCACATTACATTTAGTACCTCCAATGCAAGGCTGGAAATATATGCACATTAGACTGCTCTAATGTACAAAAAAAAAAAAAAAAGCATACGTTCGCGCTTCTAAGCGACATGATGCACAGTGCTCAGGCAAGCCCCTTGGATTGCACACCAGCAGCCTGTCTACGTGTGCACACATGCACTTTTCCTAGTACACATTACATTTAGTACCTCAGATGCAAGGCACTAAATACACGTGCATTAGGCTGCCCTAATGCACAGGAGGGGAAGCACATGTAGACACAACCCAGATGTTTGCCCCAGACTGTCTTGCAGTGCAGCAATATGAAGGAGATGCCGCATCTCCAGGGTGATGTGCACACACTGGGTGCAAAGGACGGTTTCCTGAGGGGGAAAAGCAGAGACATTTGTAGCCTGGTTCTTGCATAATGTACTTGCCACTCTCCTAAGCAAGCTCTCCCACCTCCATGAACTCCCAACCCACTTCCGCATCCACAGCACCTTTTCCATCACAATTTTGCAGGTGGAGAGCAAGACACCATGCAGGAGTGATGCTGCCACCACCACTTGGAGCAAGTGGGAGAGCAATGAGCAGACACTTGATCCCTTGTCCCCTGGGCTTCGGCCATTACATCTCACTCCATACACTTATCCCCAATTCCCATTCAATGCATCTGGTCTCTGGGATCACGCGTGAGGTCTAACACTGGTAAGAACAGATCTCCTAGCCTGGAGCCCAGCAGGCACACTTTATAATACTAGGTTTTTGCTTAGCCTGTAAGTTTACTAAAGCAACATTTAATTTCTTTTGCAATAGTCAGGAATGCTCCCATATGTGTGCCTTTGGCACAGCACAGGCCTGGCCCTTATCCAGGCAGATTTATAGACACTTAAAGCCCACTGTGGGATGCCTGTAGCGAAAGCCTCCCTAAAGTTTGTTTTCAGTGCAGAAACTGGAAGGCAGACAGGGGGGAAGTATCCTTGAACATCTCAGTGCAGCCTGAACTGATGCATGAACCTGCCCTGGCATAGATCACTCACCATCCCACCACTCGCCTCCAGCACTCACCTGCTGCGTGCATGCCAAGCAGAGCCGACGCACCTCACTCCTGCCAGCTTTGCCTCCCCTGGAAGTGGGCAGCAAGGGTGGAGAGTTACATTTTCTACTACTCATGTGTCAAATGCTTGTGAAGCCCAGTTGCTGCCTTGGATTTAGGCATGGAGTTACAGGAAGAAGCAGAGACCAGAAGGGGAAAAAAACCCCCACTGCTAACAGTTTCATGACTTGGCTCACAGTTGAATGAGTTCATCTGGGTAACACATATTTGCTCAGCAATGAAACAGGGTGCAGGGACAAGGGATCAAGTGTCTGCTCATTGCTCTCCCACTTGCTCCAAGTGGTGGTGGCAGCATCACTCCTGCATGGTGTCTTGCTCTCCACCTGCAAAATTGTGATGGAAAAGGTGCTGTGGATGCGGAAGTGGGTTGGGAGTTCATGGAGGTGGGAGAGCTTGCTTAGCAGAGTGGCAAGTACATTATGCAAGATCCACACTGCCAGTCACCTCGCTATAAGCAGCATGATAAAAACCAAGGTGGAGGGTGGTCTTATGGGGCAGTGGCAATTCCAGGAGACAGGATTTAGCCTCCCCTGCACCATTACAGTGTAATCCAAATGAGCCTAGAGGATTAATGACAACCCCTAGAATTCATTCCTGCAGGATCAGCTCCTGTTCTTGCAATTACAAGGTCTGCAGAGCAGTCCTGCAGAGATGCTCAAACTCTTGAGGAGGTCATGTTATTAGACACCACCATCTAGCAGCTATGGGTTAATAAGCTAATAATATTTGCACACACTGAGGTTGAGGTGGCATCCAAATGGGCTGCAACTTGTCTGTCAGCTGGAAGGGCTGGGGCACAAGTAAACCTTGTTGCAACAAGTGTCCTGCCTTATACCTGTGTGCCATACTGTACAGGGGATATGGTGCTGGGCTGATACAAACCAGCTGCTTGGCAGAGGAGAGCAGGCAGCTGCTTCACTTTTGTAACAGCATTTTATTAAGAGCCCTTCAAGTGGATAAATGGAAGCTCCCCACACAAGGCAAAAATAGCAATGGCTAGTCTAGGCCACCTTGAGAAGGAGTGGGAAGCACCCATCTGAACTGCCAAAAATGGGGCTTACACCAAATTAGCTGTCTGAAACATCCATACAGCATCTAGCTCTAGCAGGTGCTCGGCCTCCCCCAGCTGCTGACACCAAGAACGAAGCCTCCCACCTGTGCTGGGATGCAACTCAGCCCCCAGCTTGCAGCACTCAAACACTGCCACCCTCCAACACCGATCAGCCATCTACAGGATGCTAGACACCATCTGAACACAAAGCCAAGGCAAAGAACTGCCCATCTCTTGCATATCTGGGTTCCAGAGTCCTGAAAAATAGCTGGACAGCAGCACAACCCCAACCCCATTCATCACTTCAGCCGCCACCCATGTTGTACATGTTTCCAACTTCCCCCAGTGAAGCCTGAGTTCCCACACAGCAAGGCCAGCCAGTAGACAGGCCACCAGCATCCCACTACTAGAGGACCTCAGGGCACTGGAGCTCTCCGTACACAGCTCCTTTCTTCTTAGGCCATTCACCTACCGAGGCAGTCAAGTCTTCCTGCCTGTGCCCCAAAGCTAGCGCTGTCCTCTGCATTGCTGGACACGTGGGTAGAACTTACTTTCCTGCAGACCAGATCAGAAAGCCAGTTATCTGTTTGCAAAAAATCAAGACAGCCTGAAGGCCTGGGACTGGACCTCCCCATGCTTGGTGCTGTACAGACACACAGGAGGCAGCCCTTGGTGAGCTAGTTGTCAGAGTAAGCGTGACAGAGTTGCTGGCTGCATTTTACACCTAAGTGAAGCACCAAGATTAATCAATAGTTAGTTCACGCATGGAACTCCTCGCCGCAGGAGAGTGTAGAGACAGATAGTATATGATCAGGTTCCAAAAGGGATTAGACTTGGGGAATTGTTCTGCTCCTCACCCTGCTTGCACACCGATTGTGGGTTTGCACAGCTACTCTGCACCCCGGGAAACAGGAAGTTTCTTGGATGCATCCAGGGCTAGCTCAGGGCTCCTCACTCCTCTGTTTATAAACATTAACATGCAGCAAGGGCTGGCTGTGCATATTTTCCCATGGCGCTTGGAACACAAGGAGCTGAAGGAAGGGATCCATGCCCCAGTGTCATCAGGGAGCAGTCCAGAAGTACTACTAGCTGGACAAAAAAAGTTTAAGCAAATCCAAGGGTTGCATTGCTGCAAGGATTGCAGTATGTTGAGTGGCTGGGTCACACCATGCCGTGTGGTCGTATGATGCAGCTAGACAAGAAGTTAGTTGCATGACAATCACTATCTGAGTAGGAAATATGGCAGAAAAATTCAGTGCATCCTTTAATTGCAGACTCTCCAGGCAGGGTTTGCTGAACTGAAACAAATGGCAAATGTTGAAGAAGAAACCGCTGTGAGTGAACTTTATATTCACCATCCCCACAGAAACCCAGCTCCAACAATGACATTTGCTCAGTCAGAAGACTAGCCCCATGTCACATATTCAATGGCAACAGCATGCATTTCAAGTGTGCACATGCACCCACACGCGCTGTCCCCTGCCCCCCGCTCATGAACAGAGCAACTGTTATCCGCTGAGAAAACAGTGAGGTGCAGGCAAGGTGTGAAGAGATGGAGATGTGATATTCAAATTGGGTGTTTGTTATAAATACACTCGGCACAGAACTGCACTCCATGTCACAGCTGCTGGCAAGTACATAATGCTCGCATCATGTTACACCTCAGACTTCCTGTGTAGGCAGGACACATGACCTCTTGGGGACATAGGCAGGTTGAGACTAAATACATTAAAGACCAGGGGACTTAGAGACTGGAGAACCTCAGCATGCAGGAGCACTGGCCCGGGTAACACTGGTAAAAGAAGGACTGTTTGCCCACCATCGCCACAGTAGCTGGGAGCAACAATCCATGGTAGAAACAGGAGGACGGCTGTAAATTTTTTTTTGCAAAGAGAGCTTCTTCCACAAAAGACATTCAACTCCCCCGCCCCACTCCCCAAGACTAAGCTTTTCAGGTATTTAACTATTAAAGATTTGAGGGACGTTCTCAACCAGCTCTATGGAAGGGATAAGCTGTCCCCAGAAAGCTTCCCTTTCCCTCAAACACCAGACCCAAAGTGGTACACCATAAGCAAGTCCCAGTGGTGACTGCTCTCCCATCTGCACTGCGCAAAAGAGCCTGCAACAGCCACCCTATCACATACCGACAGCTCTGCTCAGAGGATGCAGTGGGCCAAGTAAGGGAAGGACCAGCGCAGGAACCCGCTCAGCACACGGTGCCAATTTGTCTGGTTTACAGAACATACGGGCCACCACTGCGGGTGCACTGCACGGCTTGGATGTCTCTTCCACATACATTCACCATCTCTCATACATTTTTTACAGTGGTTTCACATTCCTTTTGGCAGTACCTAATCGCTCCCCCTGCTGCAAACACTGCTTTCCACTTCCTGCATCGATGCTGCTGCTCCCTGGTATCCGTCAGGGCAGCCAGCCACTGGAAGACAGCAATAATACCCTCAGTATAATCAGATGTGTGCTTGCTTCAAGCCCTCTGGATTCCTGGGTCTCCAAATCACTCCCCAGCTTGGCAGGCACCATGTAACCAACCACCCACCCTCCTCATTACAAGGTACCCCCAACTCTCTCGTGCTTTATGAGGTCGCTGTGCCCTTTCTGGCTCATCACTAGATGCCAAAAGCAAGCAGAACTGGGATGGGATGGGAAGAAGCAGTGCTGGGTCTCCCCAGGTGGTGCTTTCTTCCCAAGCAAGCATTTGGGAGTGCCATCAGAGGCTGCGGTATGGGTGAGGGAGGTCCTGGCAGCTTCCAGGCACCACGGAGGTGCTTTTCAGGCCTTGAGGGAGATGCAACACCTGGGCCGAGCCCAGCTTAGACTAGGGCATATTGAAGGGGCTCTGTGCACCCCTGCAGAGCTGGAGGCAAACTGAAGCCAGCCAAGGCCTGCCCCAAGCACCCTCTCACTCCCAGAGAACACGTACACA